GACATTCCAGGCCAAGGACGCTCAGCTTGTTGACCACCTGAAAGCCATACTGAGAAACTCCTCGAACCACTTGCGCTGCGATGTCCTCCGCTGCCCCAGGATCTTAGCCTTGTCTTTGGCGATGGGAAGCTCAAGTGCTTGGAGGACCACCGCCAACCTGCCGATAGCCGCCTGAGTTGCCTGGACAATCTCATTCGCCTTCATCATGATCTGAAGCGTGATATCATCTGCATAGATGTCCAGGGTGCGCGGTATCTGCGTGATCGACGCCTGATAAATATCGAAGGGCAGGATCATGATCAGTTGCAACAAATGCATTGCCACCGAGCAGCCAGGTAGGGCCCCTTGCGTGGCCCTGACGGCATATGAGAAGTTCGTCCCCCATCGAATGCGCCTCGGAGCGGCATACATGGCCAGGACACTGCGCAGGACGCTGAGCGGAAACCCAACGTGTTTGGCGGCCTCGATGATCTTGATCCACTTGAGCCTGTCGAAGCACTTGCTGATGTCCATCGGGGCTGTGATGATGGCGTCCTGGTCTCTTGCGTCGGCTGCCTCAGCGTAGACCATTGCGCGCGCACCCACATCTATCGTAGATCGTCCTGAGCCCAGCGCGAGGTAAGGACGCGTGTGGTTGGCCGCCCACCTGCGCACGTGGGCGATCCTGATCTTGGTGTACACCCTGTAGATGGACGGCAGCAAGGCTATCGGCCTGAAGCCGCCTTGGGGCTTCGCCAACAACATCACGTGAATGGCCATGATGGTGGTGGGCCATCGCCCCCAGGCCTCCGCAGCCCATAGAAGGTACACGAGCATGGCCACGGCGTCGTCGACCAAAAGAGAGTACGCTCGTGGAGGCATTGCGTCAGCACCAAGTCCCGTCTTCCACGCAAAGGATCTCGAAGCACGCCGTACGTCATCGATCGTGGGTACCTGCATGGCCTCGCATGGTAGGGTGCGGATGAGCTTCACCAGGTCGTCCTGGCTGTCTGCAATGTGCTCGACGTCGAACTCGTTGTCGCCGAGGCTGACGGCACAGGTGATGCTGCCCACGTCCTTGTAGATGATGTCCTTATCCGCAGCTTTGGAGACCTTTGCACCTTGCCATATGTCATTCCACATGTCCATCTGGCTGTCTGCTACTGCTTGAGGAAGCGCTGAGCGAATACCGAACCTGTCTACCTCATTGTGCGCCCGCCCCTTCAGCTTGGTCATGCCGGAGACTGGGGAGGCGCCTGTGATCAGCGCGTCCTGGGCCCACTTGTGGAAGCTCTTGGCCCTCTTGTTGGCTGCCTGCTGCTCGAGAACCTTGGCATGGCCTTCGAAGGTCAGGGCGAGAGCTTTGACAAACAGGATGTACTGTGAGGCCTCCAGTCTGCACGCATAACGTAGAACAGGCCAAGCCCACTCGAACAGCACCACGCCCTCCGTCGCGTGGATGTCCTGACGATGACCTGGCCGAAGAGCCCTCGTGATGCGCGCCCAGTTGGGCCCAATAAGACCTGGACCCCGACGCCTCGGTGGGGTAGGTCCCTCCCGATCGCCTTGGTCTTGATCGTCGTGCCCTCTCTCGTCGCGAAGCCCTCCTCGATCTGGCCCTTCGTCGTGTCCATGTGGCTCCGCCTGCTGCTCAGCCATGCCAGCGACAAACTTAAAATTAGCGCTGGAGCCCGAGCCGCCGACGTCGCCTGAATGAGTAGAATTCCCAAGGGAAGCTGCTGTCCTTGCTCGATGCCGTGGTGATGCCCGCTTCTCAGCCATGCCGACTGCAATCTTCAAATGAGAGCTGGAGCCCGAGTCGTTGGCGTCACCTGAATAAGTAGATGTCACGCGAGAAACTGCATCCTTGTCACGATCACGTGGCGCCGTCCGCTGCGCAGCCATGCCGGCATCAAACTTCAACTGAGAGCTGGAGCCCGCGATGCCGACGACGCCTGAGTAAGTCGAAACCGATGTGGTAGCTGGCGAAAGATGACCTGTTGGCTCTGCCCTTTCAAGTTGAGCGGCCAGGTCTTGCAGCGCGAAGGTCACGTTGCGCATGCAGCGGGCTTCGGGGCCAGCTGCTGGAGCCCCTTTGAGGATGGGCCCTCCCGCTGGACGCCAGACATATGCAGGAGCTTCCGCTCTACCACAATACTTCTCGCGATCCTGCGCGTCCACCTGGTTGATGTGGCAGAGGTCCTGCTCCACGAACGAGATGAAGTTGGCGTGGAGGCCGTCGAGCCGCCGCTGTGCCTGATCACCATCTTCAGGTTGTCCCAGATCCGCATCTTGCCTGACCACGTCCAGGTAGGGTTGCAATTTGGGCGGTCCATACAAGGGACTGGCCCGTGAGCACCGCGGCGCCTGCTTGGGGAAAGGCTTGGGCGCCTTCAGGTGCATCTGCATGTGCGCCCTGGGCTTCGCGTCGAGATCCATGCGCACAGGATAGCGGGGCCTCGGGACCCAAGAGTCGAGCACGTAGGGGACGCCACAAGCCTTCGCAAAGTCAGGTGAGGCCAGCCAGTAGTCGATGGTGCTGTAAGTGCCCGTCTTTGCCGAACGACAAGTGCCCGACGTTTGAGTGGCCACCGCAATGGCAGGCATGATCTGCAAGAAGCCCAGCACCTCCATGTTGGCAGGCTCCGTGTTCCAGTCACCTGCGAAAATGAAAGGGGCGGAGAAGTAGCGCATGCTCTCCGCGATGCGCATGAGCTTCTGATAGTTAGCGGTGAGAAAGTCGGGGTCTGGGACCGACTCCATGTACGCCGACCCGACGATGAAGCCTCCTTTGATCCCAGCATGTACGTGTACTGCCACCGCCCACGAACGTACGATCTCGAACCCATCCGTAACGCCCCCAGCACCACTAAGAAGAGTAGTGGATACATGCGCCCTGACAAAGATCCCCACGCCCGCGCTCGGCAGCTTGGAAGCCAGGCGCCTGCACGGACTGAATGGCTGCCATCCATTTCTCGTCGCCCATGTTCGCGCCTGATCCAACGCTTCGCCATCAAGTCGAAGTTCCTGAGCCGTTACCACCAGCGCATCTGTCGCTCCATTCTGCCAAAACTGCTGGCACGATCGCCAGCAATGCCCATTGAATGTGACAACCCCCATGCTGGTGCGCGCCCTTCGGCGCGTGGCTCGTCTACGTGGTGCCCGCAAACTCCCGCGCTGCCGCTGCTGCTCCTGCTGGCGTCGGTGCTGCTGCGACTGGTGGTGCTGCTGGTGCACGTGCTGCGCCTGGTGCTGCAGGCGCTGCGGCTGCTGTGACTGCTGCTGTGTGGGCGCCGACGCCAGCGGGCTGCCCGCCCGCGGTGCGAAAGGCCTCAACCTCCATCGCCGTCTGGCCTGGCGGAGACGGCCTCGGCATTGCGTCCCCCGGCGTGCGCACGTGTCCCACCAGCTGCTCCAGGATGGCACCGCCCACGATGTTGCGGTCCTGGCCCTGCTGGATGGAGTTGTGGGCTGTCTGGAGAAGTTGCTGAAGCGCCGCCACCGAAGATGCCGCATCGCCGCCCAGTGGTGCGGTATGTGCCGCATTGGCCAGCTGGGCCTGCGCCACCTCCTCGTTGGACTCCACAAGCTGCAGCTTGACGCGGTCCAGCCTGTCGGTGGCCGATTTGAGTTGGGCTGCCAGGGCGTCGACCTCCGTCTGGAGCTTTGCACGCCCCTCTTCACGCGCTGCCTGCCTGTCCAGCGCCGAGCGGAGCACGTCGGCAGGCGCCATGTGAGCCCGCTCTTGTGCTTCGGCCTGGCTGAGCTCGGCCTTGGCAGCCACGACGAGGGAGTGCTCTTCGTCATAGATGCTGCGCAGCGCCATGAGGGCCTTACGGCACTTGGCCACCGCGTTGGACTCCGCGGTGCCCCCGCCGCCAGCCCCAGGAGGAGCGCCGCGAAGATGGCGACCGCCGCCAGCGCCCAGCGAGCGAGGCCTGGACGCCGAGCGCGGCCTGGTGGGCTGGCGGGCCCCCTTGGCTCCCGTAGGCCGGCCCTGGCGGTCGAGGCCGCAGGCCCAGCAGGTCTCGCGGGTCGCGAAGTTGTTGGCGAACCCGCACGCCCGCGTGGCCGCGCATGCCCACACAGGGCCACCGCCGCCACGCCCCTGAGCTGTGCGCCAAGGGGCTCCATGGGCCGCCTCGTCCTGCGCCATGGCCTCGCCGTGGTGGCCAGCCAGCGTCCTGCGGGCCTCCGCGACGCGAAGGACCTGGCGAGCCTCCGCGCGGCGCCGCCGCTGCCGCCTGTGCCAGGCTGGCGACGGCGAGCGCCGTCGAGGCGAGCGGCCAGCCGTCGTCGAGGTGCACCAGCGCCCGCAATCGCCGCGGGCCGCCGGCGTCTGGGGCCAGATGGACGCCCCCCCCGCGCGCCCCCGCGCGCGTGGGAGCCCAAATGGCAGCCTGGACGAGAAGGAGGAGGAGGAGGAGGAGGAGGAGGAGGAGGAGGAGGAGAAGGTTCGGGAGGGATGACGGGGGCCCGGGTTCCCAACTGGGGCCGGGAGCACGGCGCCCCCAGCTGTGGCCGCGCGGCGCCGCCCAAGCGGCCACGGCGGGCCTCGGCTGCCCGCCGGCCGCCGGCGCCGCCGGCGCCGCCGCCATTTTCGGTGTCGTCTTCGTCGGCGCGTTGCGCGCCGCCGTTGCGCTCCTCCCCGTCCTCCTCCACGTCCTCCTCCACGTCCTCCTCCTCCTCCTCCTCCTCCTCCTCCTCCTCCTCCTCCTCCTCCTCCTCCTCCTCCTCCCCCTACTCCGTCTCCTCCTCTTCCTGCTCTTCTGCCTCCTCCTCTTCCGCGTCGCGCGCCGCCGTCGCGCTTGTCTGGAAGAACATCCTGCCCTGTGACCCAGACCCCCTCGAGTCATGAAACAAAACACGACGGGTGTTTCTTCGCCATTTTCGGCATCTGGGGGCTCTTACTGGGCCTCGGAACCGTGAAAAGACGACTCAGGATGCAACAACGGTGCCTGGCAATGGGTCAAGACCTCTGGAGGTTGACGTCATGGAGAAATCATGAAGTCGGGGGTCTGGGGATCGCGGGTTGTTCTTCAATCCCACGACTTCCTGTGAGGGTTTGGGACGACGTCGGGGTAAGGGAAGCATCGACAAAATGTATGCACCAGTATCCCGTAGACGCCCCGACCCGCTTTCCTGTGCGAGCTTCAGTGCGGGGCCAGAAGACGCGTCCGTGCGTATATAGAGATCGGCTCCTTCCGCAGGCCCTGAGCTCTCGGCGTTGCACTTCTTGCCAGAACAAGGGCGCTTCCGCCCGGTGTGTGGGCCCCGGGCCCTCGCAGCTCGATCCCGCTCGAAGAAGGACGCTGCTGCTGCTGCGGAGGGGGAAGGGGAGGAGGAGGAGGAGGAGAAGGAGGAGGAGGAGGAGGAGGAGGGGGGGGGGTAAGTGTAGGAGGAGGAGGAGGAGGAGGAGGAAGTAGGAGGAGGAGGAGGAGGCGGCGGCGGAGGAGGCGGAGGCAGACTGAGGAGGAGGAGGAGGAGGGAGGGGGGGGAGGAGGAGGCGGGGGAGGAGGTCAGGAGGAGGGGGCGGAGTTAGTCGGAGGAGGGGGAGAGAGGAGAGGAGGCGGAGGAGGAGGAGGAGGGGAGGAGGAGGGGGGGAGGAGGAGGGGGGAGTGAGGGAGGAGGAGGTCGAGGAGGAGGGGGCGGAGTAGTCGGAGGAGGAGGAGGAGGAGGAGGAGGAGGAGGAGGAGGGGGAGGAGGGGGAGGAGGAGGAGGAGGAGGAGGAGGAGGAGGAGGAGGAGGAGGAGGAGGAGGTGCCAAGTATTTCGCAGCGCAGCGCCGGCTCTCAGAGAGACGTGCGCGCCACGTGCGGCCGAGACAAAGGCAAGCGACGTCGACAAGCAAGGGAGGACCCCTGCCCCAAGAGCAGAGACGACGAGCAGAGACGACGTCAGAGGAACACGTAAGTCGGGCATGTCCCTCTACAGGAGGAATATACAAGAATAGTCAAAGCATAGTCGGGGGACGATTGTGTGACTATTTTGAATCTGTGCTGGATATGTTCGAGTTTTTGATTTTTCGTCCACAGTCCGCCTGTAGGAGGACATGCCCGACCTAAAACACCTGCATACTTTCCCGGAGGTCCGCGCGGATCTCTTGGATCGGCCTTGGGCCCCACTGGCGGCGCCTCGGGCGCCACCCCTGGCCCGCTCCGCGCGCCTGGGAGAGCGCGAACCTCCGAGACGCCCGCCACCGTGCCTTGTGCACGTCGAGGCTTGGAAGAATGTCAGCGTCTACCTGCTAGGGTTCTTGGACTCTAGCGAGGGGCCGCCCCTCCTCTACCCTCGGACCTCGTGCGCGCATACCCCCCCAACTCACCGAGGCCACTTCCCTCGTGCCCGCTCGAGGATGGGTGCACTTCCCGCATGGAGTCCCTACCCCCCCTCTCCACGTTTGCCCGCTCGAGGATGGTAAACTTCCCGCATGGCAGCTCATGCCTGAACCCCCATTCCACGCGTACTTCCGCATGACGGCTAATGCCTGATCCCTCATTCCATGCGCACCCGGTCGAGGATTGCGCAGTTCCCGCAGGGCTGCCACCTCCTAGACCCGTCATCCCAAGCTCCCGCTCGAGGATCGCGTACGTTCCAGACACCCTGGCGCTGCTGCCACGCGCCCCAAGGCCTCCCAAGCGACGAACCTCCGTGAAATTACCCAGGAACGTACCCAACCCTTTCTAAACACGTAGTGGCTATACCCAAGACTGCCCAATACAGGCGAACATGTTGAAAGAGCCGCAGTGCGCAGAAGCGGCCAGAAGTGAAATCAGATGCGCGCAGCAGCGAGGGCAATGACAGCCACCCGAAAAATGGGCACAGAGCGGCGCTGCTGTAGGACAAGCGCCCAAGAACACTTGAAACAAGAGGGCCGCGGCGGCAAGGGCAGGGGGCAGCGAGACGAGCACAGCAGATGCTGCACACGAACAGGGCAGCGCGACGAACCAGAAGAGCACCCCAGAAGTGCAGACCGAAAGGGCGCCCGGCTCCAGCCCTTTGGCCCGCCGCCCCCCCGCCGTGATGCGGCGGGCCGCGCCGTGGCCGTGCCGCCCCGGGGCCTGGGCGGCGGCCGCCCTCCTCCGCGGCCCGGCGGCCGCCGCCTCGTGGGTCGCGGCGGTGCGGGGGCCGTGCGAGCAGGTCGGGGCCTGCGTGCAGAGCCCGAACTACCCGGGACGGTGCGCGGCTGCACGCGCACACGTTGCTCACGTCTGCTTCTTCGGGAGGCCTCTCGGGGGTATCTTAGGAGGCCAGGATCCTCTCATGTCTGATGCCTCTGTCCTGGGCCTCTTCCTGGCCACCAGGGGGCCAGGAACAAGCAGAGACACGAGCACAAGCAGAAACGAGCACGATGAGAAATGAACGACGTGTCTGAGTGACCCTTCGCTGGAGTGACCTCTGGTGCGGGCCCAGTGGGGCACCCCGATCGCCAAGCACGATGCGACAGCAGCGGCCTGCGCGCCCGGCGGTGTCCCCGAAGGGCCCCCCACACTGGGCCGCGCACCACAGGTCACTCTAGCCCAGGGTCGCTCTCCTGCGTGTAGCCGAGGTACGGTGGCCAGCAGAGCTGCGAGATCTCCGTGAACCCGTGGGCGCAGGAGAGCGTCAGCGCCATCCGCTTCCGCAGCGAGAGGAACTACGACGTCCTCACCGTGAACGGGAAGCGCTATTCGGGCCACTTCTCGCGGGGCCCGCAGGACGTCGTGGCAACCGGGGCGATCCTGTGGAGCTCTGACGACGGCGTCGAATCTACAGGGTGGAAGATTTGCCGCACGTCGGAGGCCGATGCCGTGCGGGCCGCTGAGCCGCCCATCGAAGCCCGAGGATTCGAGATGTTCATTTACGCCTTCATGACGGTGATGGTTGTGTGGCTTGTCCCATTCCTTGCTGTGGCCCCTCTGGTATCTACGGTACTATGTATTTTGGCCCACAAAGTATGTAAAACCGAGATGTTGAGCAGCCTCGCAGTTCGCATCGCACATTTCCCGTATATGTTGTTGCACGGTGGCAAGGCCGCGGGAGACAGTGAACATCCATTCAACATCGTTGGATATTGCATCTTGTGGTGGGGAATTGTATCATTCACAATGCTGACTTTCATTATTATCTTGTTTGCGGCGGTCACCTTCCTAATCACTATCTGTTCGGTTTGTTGATGATGTCGCTATTCTTCATGCTCCTCACACTGATGGAGTCCGTCGCAGAGCGAGCTACGAATGAAACAAGAGTCTCAGGAGGTCAAGTTCCTGCCGTGAAGTACGAGGGGAAGCTGTGGCAGTTCTTGAGGCACCCATTCGTCAAGTGGACTTATCGGACAGTGGCTCTTCTTGTAATTGCCACCGTGATAAGTGTTGGAGTCTACGTCCAGTTCTTGGTGGACGCAATGCTGATCGAGAGTGGATTTGATCTGCTTCCCTCCCAGCGCGACTCAAGTGATTCTCCGCCAGTGTATGCGGTCATGCAGGGCATGAAGGGCGATTTCGCGGTCATGAGCATCGTATCCCCAGTGTTCGAGCTGTTCCGTCCGATTCTTAAGTGGGTTCGTGCATGCTTGGATTGGCCCGTGGCATGCAATCCTGCCGCGTGGTCTGCCTATTCTGTCGTTTGCCTTTCTGCAACATATGTCCAGTTCGTATGGTGCACGACCGACGTTGCATCTCCTTTGTACGATCGGCAGAAGCGGATGGAAGAGGCGCCAGCAGATGAGACTGCTGGCAATATGGGTTTTCTGAAGCAGAAGTTTTACGCCCTGGTTGTATTGATCATCCTCAAGTTGAACTTCTTCACTCTGCAACTTGTTGGGCAGGGCATAGTCTCTGGATTCCCCGGCATGATGTCACACGATTCTAAATATTGCGAGGTCGAAGTGGTCCACCCCCACGGTATTGAGCTTGGATATGCAGCCTCATGGCTGATTGCACGGCTCATGTCTTATTCGTAAGGGCTTCGCCCCCTGCCGCCGGCCCCCTCTCTATCCTAATGGGGTAGATCAGGGTCGCGTCGGTGCGTCTCGGCGCTGTCTCGGCGCATCTGCGAACATCTTGCGGGGGCGGATTGGAACCATCAGCGCGTATTGAGACGTTGGCGTTATCGACGACGCGCACGGCGAATCGCCGCCGCGCCCTGCCCTTGTGGAAGCGCTGATGTGGCCGACAGCTGGGCTAGAGCTTGGCCAAGCTATCGGGCCAATTGTTCCCCGAGTCGGTAGGGAAAGCCTTCGGGGAACGCTTGGGGGAGCAAGCGGCTTGGAATCGCCCATGCGTCTGAGCGTTGTGGCCAGTGCTCTGCCAACGCACCAGGCCATTTGTTCCCCCAACAGTTGTGGGAACCCTTCGGGGAACACGTCGGGGAGGACGGCGGGGAAGATCAGGAGGAGGAGGAGAAGGAGGAGGAGGAGGAGCAGAAGGAGGAGGATAGAAGGAGGAGGAGGAGGAGGAGGAGGAGGAGGAAAAATAGAAGGAGGAGGAGGGGAGGAGGAGGAGGAGGAGGAGGAGGAGCAGGAGGAGGAGGAGGAAGCATCTTGGGAGCCTCTGGGGGCACTCTTGGCGCCTCCTCCTGGGAGTTTCCTGAGAGCCTCTTGGAGGCATCTTGGGGGCCTCGTTGTGCATTTTGAGGGCCTTTGGGGGCTTCTCGGGGTCTCAGGGCATTCCTGGCACGTCCGACGCCGTCGGAAGCCGTCTTTGGGGCTTTTCTGGGCCGACTTGACTCGAGGGACGTCTTTGAGGCCATCTTGGGCGTCTTGGAGGCCTTTTGGGCCTTCTGCGGCCCTCTTGGGGCCGTCTTGGAGGCTTCTTGGGCTGTTCTGGGGCCGTCCTGGAGGCCTCTTGGGCGATCTTTCGGGGCTCTTGGGCCGTCTCGGGCCGTCGGAAGGCCGACCGAAGCAAACATATCTCCCGAAAACCGGAGGGAAATCGATGCATTTGGCATCTTCGGGCCTTCCTGGAGAGCCTCGTGGGCCGTTTTGGAGGCCTCTTGGGAGCCGTATTGGGCCATCTTAGAGCCATTTGGGGCCGTCTTGGTGGGCTCCTGGCCCGTCTGGTTCCGTCGGGAATTGTTTCGGGGGCCTCGCTGTGCAACGTACAGCCCAGAGCCTGCCTGACTAGAGCCTCCTTACTACACAACAGATGGCCTCTAGATGCCGAGTGTGAGCTTACACCTGCATACATGTCTGCGCTCACAAAGGGACCCCGGTTTACATATATCCGCGTTTCACGGCGCATCGTGTTTCGAATTCCGTGTGTAGTTTAGGCATGCTTGATGGTATCCCCGAGAACCCTCGTAGAGCCCTCGGGCCCCAGATGGCTCATTCTATAAATGTTTCAAGTGTCCCCAGGACGTTTCTTTTGAAACCGCCTTGGTTCAAGCCTTTGCAGCGACAGAGTGTCGCTGGATTCATGGTGCGCGCCTGTGACGCGCAGGATTGCGAGCTGGCCCGCAACCGTAACAGCCCCTTTTCATCACCATCGCGCGAGCAGCCTCGTGCTTCCCATTGCCCGTACATCCCCGACACCAACATCAGTGTTATCGAAACCTCGAGAGGCGAGAGAGAGAGAGAGAGAGAGAAGAGAGAGACCAATATCCAGGGATTCATCTCAGGGCAGTGGTTCTGGCAGCGCCATTGCATGGTTGCGGAGCTGTGAAGCTCCATGGGCAACATATTCACGGAGCACAGCGTGCTACGACACAATGGCGAAACGCAGCATTGGAGATGACATTGTATTGGAGTGGAACGGAGACTTCACCAAGGTGAACGATTACGAGCGAGACGCCAAGGCCTCTATCCGCGGGACCAGGCGTGACAAACGAAATGTGTTCGGCCACAGACTCTGGAGACGACTCGGGCGACGAGCTAGACAGGCCGCCATGCACGTTGATTGGGGCCGCATCTAGAAGGACGATGGCGCCATTGAGTTGCCCAGACACGTCCGCGCAATGCTCGGAGCGCAGCCCATCCAGGACGCTGGGAAGTATTTGGCCAGATTGGTATTCGATCTACGACGCGACTCTTGTTATGCCGTCCTTTGTCCGCCGCGATTACGAAACCTATCACGACTTGGTCAACGGATTTGCCACCGAATATTTCGAGAAGCAGAGACATCAGCCTCTCGCCAAACGGGCGACGGATTGGAACGACGTCTACACAGAGATGCATTGATTCCTCCATGAGATCTTGCTCGAGGGCCCCGAGGACTCCTGCCGACAAAGCGAGAGAGCTGAACCTCAAGCTCTGGAGCTTCATCAGGACGGGGCTCCAGGAAATTCTGGAGCATGCCGATTTCGGAGCCGATTTTAACCGGGCGGTTCCCCATCGACCAGCTCCGTGGGTGGTTACTGCTGCAAAGATCCAGACTGTCCCCGACCGAGCGTGCAGCAGTGATCAGTGTTGTGGAGGGTAACCTCGACTGCGAGAGCATCGGAGCAGTTTCGAGTATCCTGGCCAGATGGCGACTCGACGAATCGCGACAATAACCAGGGCAAAGATCACTGCCGCCCGGATCGTGGCAGGGTCCGGGCCGGCGGGGATCAGGAAGATGACGAAGATGAAGTTCAGCATGGCTATGGCTACTGCGACGATTCGAACGCGTCCTACGATACCCAGCCGGAGGAAGATCCAAAGATCCCGAGGAGCCCCTCTACGTTGCTCCAGCGATAGAGGAGGCCGAGACCGCCTTCGCAGCTCAGCAGCGCAGCTTCGAGCAGGCTCGGGACCTGCTTCGTCGAGTGAAGACGGCGAGGAATTCCTACCCAGTGGATGCGCAGCCCGCGCGACGAGAAGCCCCATGGACCTCGAATGGCATCCCGAGGCTCTTGGTTTTCCACGGGGCGAGGGCGCGTCGACGGACAGCGACGTGATCGACCGAGTTCCAAGAGTAGAGACCGCTCGCGTCCCGCATAGAAGGGCCTGCGCTTGAAATGTGGAGGTAATACGAAAGACCACCGAGACCGAGTTTCATCCGCAGGCAGCCGAGGGGGTCGAGATCGACCGAAGAAGGCTTTCTCGAGCTTCGACTTCTTCAGCGCTCAGCGAGGCGCGGAGATGGGGGCCCATCTGACCGGGCGCGACGAGGCGATCTACGATACCTCGACCGGGATCCGCGTTCTGATCGTCTGGTGACCTCTCCCGTCTGGGCGACCTTGGAGCAGGGCGAAGAGTGGATGCGCACGGGCGTGAAGCAGTCTGGCTCCGAGGGCTCCGGCATTCTGGACATCGGCGCTGCCTCCAGCATCGCGGGCATATAGGCCGCCGAGAAGCTGCCAGGCACCGTCTATGAGCAGACAGGCAGGAACGTCAATATTATCGTCGGCCAGAAGTCAACCTAAAATCTTCGGCGACGTCAACTCCGAGACCTGCAACGGCAAGGCCACCTTTCCGCTGGAGATAGCCGGCGCGGAGGGCGAGCTCGAGACCGACATCCTGGGCGCCGACGCTCCGCTGCAGAGTTGGGGTGGTGTCTCGAGCCGCCCGGGAGCCGCGATCGACTGCACGGCGCGCGCTGCTTACTTCGAGAAGCTCGGGCGCCGAGCGCGGCTGCTCGCCCTTCCGAGCGGCCACCCTGCGCAGCCACTTGCATCGCATGCCGACTTGCCGCTTCGTGGCCATCCTCAGCTGGGGGCGCGCGCCCCCGACGCCCGAGACTGCTCCGGTGCAGGAGGGAAAATGCGAGAACAAGCAGCCGATTGACAGCGAACGCCCAGGTGCTCCTGCCGATGCCCCCCAAGAGCTCCCAGATGAGACCCCCGCAATTGGGGCCCCGCCAGGCCCCCGGACATCGTTGCCCGCAGCCACAGGGGCATCGTCAGCGCCTACAGCTGCGGGGACATCGTCGTTGCCCGCGCCCGCGGGCATGTCATCATTACCCGCGCCTGCGGCGACATGATTTTCACCTGCTCCCCAGGCATCATTGTCACCAACTCCGGCCCGCTAAAGGCCATGGCCTGGTCAACTTCCTGAGGTCGTTCCCGAGGTCCCCGCGCTGATCAAGCACCGGGCCGCGGCGCCATCATGTTCCATCGCCAGTTTCGGCGCAAACGAGTCGAGCGAGGAGCTCAGTTCTCAGCAGTCTTCATATCTCCCATATCTGCGCGAGCCTCAACCGCGAGACGATCTGCTTCAAAGCAGAGGGCCAGCAAGTGGAGAGACAACGAGGAGATGGAGCCGCGGGCGCGGGGGGGGCTGCCACCTGCGGGCCCAGAGCAGGGCAGGGACGTGACGCGGCTGTCGGAGATGTTCTTACTGGAGCACCTACCTTTCTGGGAGATGTGGGTCTGCGAGAAGCTGCTATCGAGGGCGACGCGCCGCCGGCGCGACTCATGCTAGAGACCTTCTTGAAGACAGTGTATCTCGAGAAGTGGAAGCTGGGCAGCGTCGACCTGCTGGTGCAGCTGCTGCCCACTCGGTGCCCGACCTGACCGGCGGAGCTTGGACATCAGGCGAAGCTCGAGACTCGCAGTCCGTCGCGCCGGGAGGCAAAGGAGTCGGCCGCCTCGGCCGCGCCGATCCAGCAGAACAGGAAGTTGCGCGACGCCATCGAGAGCGCAAAGTCAGATTTCTTGACCAAGTAGCGGAGCTGACTGCGTCGGCGGCGCTCAGCTCGGAGCAGATTCGCGAGCAGCGCAGCATCGTCACGATGCCCAACCACCTCAGGCCCCTGCGCAGGAGCTGGGGGCTGGTCCATGCTGGGAACAAGGAGGAGGTGATCGACCGCATCATCGCGCCCGTAATCGAGCAGCGCGGGGCGGCGGCCCCGGCGATCAAGATCAAGAAGGGGGTGGAGATCAAAGAGACGGAGGCGGCTTCCGCAGTCGCGGAGCCGGCCATCGCGGCCCATTGCGCTCAGGAGTGCCAGCGTCCTCGTTGCTTGCAGAGGGGGCGTCGCAATGCGCGAGCCAATCGCGAAGGTGAGGCCCCGCGGGTGGCGCCGCCGAGCGCGCGCGAC